CGTCAGCACAACACGATCAATAGCGCCCACCTTCTGAAGCGCCAAATCGATAAAAGAGTCAACCCCATCTCCATCTTGCCAACAAACTTCATTCATGCCCTGATGCATTATTTTTTCAAATGCGTCCAACTCTGCCTGAATCAGAGGCTTTTCATCTTCCTGACGCAAAGTACTCATGAAACCATTGTAGGTAGAACTTACATAATCAAGTTTCATTGTCTGGGAACGGTACGTTTCCCGTTTTTCAAAGACCGCCTGAACTTCTACAGGGACCTCAAGCTTTTGGCGATCACGTGACTCAAAAGAATTCATAACCTCCAAGTAGTACACCTCCCGCAAAGTTTTTACAAGAGCGGGATCAAAATTGACCTTCAAATTGTTGTTTCGATCAACCTCCAGGAGAGGTAGCTTCAACTTGTCAACGCTGATGGAGCCCACATCTGCGCACCATGCCTCGTACTTGTCTCGGATGGCGTCGCGCAGGGCATTATGCAGTTTTTCATACAGTTCCATTGTCTCTTTGCCAAATTCACTTTCAAGAAGAGAATGGGAAAGCTCACTGACACGGCTGTGCGATTCATTAATCCGATCCAACAAAGCGTTACACCTCACAACTGCGGCTGCGAGCGGCGGAATGTTCGGATAGGACCCTGTGGCTTCACCCTGGTAGAAAACCTCCTGCACTGCAAGAAGATCCTCGTGAAACGCCTCCAGAACCGCCTTTTGCTTTTTAGACCACTCCAACTGTACAACCGCGTGGTCTGTGAAACCATCAAATGTATCCACTGCCTTGAATACCTCTGAAATAGCCTTGGCATCATCAATGGTCGTCACAAGGATCGCACCCAGACGTCGTTCCAACTCTCGAATCGTGGCTCGGAACTGAGAGTAATTCGTATCAAAGCGAGGATCATCAACATCAAGCATGTCATACTCCACACCGAAAAAGTTCATGTACGCCTCATCAAATTCGGCTTTAATTTCTTCAGCTTCCTTTGTAAGCATCTGACTTTTCGTGCCGCCCACCTTAATGTTTTCCATTTTGTCAAACAACACAGCGGTTTCCATAACGTCCAAAAGATCATGACAACGCTCCAGGAACACATCTAACCTGAAAAAAAACGCCGTATTTTGAAATTTCCAGGGACGCGCCATGGTAGACAAATAGGATTTGTAATGAAAGTATGCAGCCTTAAACTGACCACAAACAGCAAGCGTTTCTCCCAATCGTGTTAATGCGTCCTTCTTTTCAATATTTTTGGCAAATTCTTCAATGTTCACATGTTCCGCCGCGAGGCCAATAAGATCGTTGCATATAAAACGAAGGAGGACAACCAAACGCGTGGGCGTGTTGTAAAAGCCCGACTGCGTCCAAAGGAGATACAAATAGTGGAAAAGTCTCTTAAAAGTTCCACTTGATGCAAGCTGCGTAAATTCCAAGTGACCGGGAAATGAAGGACAAATAGCCTCAAACTCAGGTTCTATTGGCTTGAGAAAGCGGTAGTTATCCCTCGCCTCGGCAGAAGCCTCCTTCAGTTCATTTATGAGTTCAAAAAAAGAGCTGTAGTAACTGCTCTCAGCCTTTTTGAGAATGACAATAATTTTTACGGCCTTCACAGAGTAAAGCTGTTCCTCCAAGTTGGCCAAATTCTCTGCCTTACTCTTCCAGAAGGCAATTTCGTCCAAAGGTCCAGGACGTATGCCCTTGCCAGCGCTGCTTTCTGTCATCTCCTCTGGAGTTGAATCTATCGCCGTACGAATCTGAGCCGTCCAAGCTATGATGGAGCTCTCCAAGCAATAAATAAACTCTGCTTCAAAAGGGCCATCAGTCACTCTGGAGGGCAACTGCACCGGAGGCATCGGGAGAAGTGTCTTACCTTGGCTAAGACCCAGTGTTACCAACATCTGTGCCAACAAGCCATTTGTGTCATCCATCAGCTCAGCCACAGCAACATCGGGAACTTGACTCACATTTTTCTTCTCACGCTTAATAAGCTGCGCATACACGTTTCGCGTCATGGAGTTCAGTCCAGACAGTGCATCAGGACACAAGTCACCAAAAACTATCTTCGTCTTCATATGCTGATCGTCGCTGATCCTTTCACGCTTCGTTTTGGTGAAATAAATACCCTTCTTCCGGAGTTCCTCCGGAGGCTCAATACGAGCAACAAGTACTCCTCCAGATGACTGGTATACATAGAGATGAGTGGCATCTGCCGTATCAAGAAACTCATTGATTTGAGCCCGACTCTCTTCGTTGTCAATGAGTTTTCTTGTGTCCACTGGCTTTGCCTTGATGGCTGTAATGATACGCTGCTCAAGCCATTGTACCCGTTTATCGATTGGCGCCTCCTCCTTTTCGCCCTTTGCCATTGTTCCCTCTTTTTTGTTTTTCCTCTTTCCTCACCGTACCAACACGCGTGCGTACCTGTGAGTTTGTATATTTCAAATAACCTAATACTTTTCAGGCGCGGTACGCCCATAAATACTTGGAAAGGAAGATCGATAAACACACACACACACACACATAAAAACAAGCAATAAAAAATATCATGGGGGGAAAAATGTAAAAAAAAAAAAAGAGGAGGATGAGCACACTTTACACTCGGGGAATTACGCAACCAATTCGATCTCTAGAGACGGACAAGACACGGTGCGGATCACGTTTTCCATATGCTTGCCCATCTGAAATTTCAGATTGGGCTTAGTCACGCTTCAAATCATGCTTCCCATTTCTTCATTCTGCTTCGGTCATTTCCTTTTTCTTTCTCTTTTCTTTTCTTTCCTCTCTCCCCCTCTCCCTGTTGTTGACGTTCCTTTTCATGGTTTTTTCTTCTTCTCTTCTTTAAGGGCACACACACAGATATATATATATATAGTTTTATAGAACAATAATAAAAAAAAAAAAAAAGAAGGCATACGCCCTACTCTGGCGGTGGACCACCCGCACCACGACGACCAGCCTTCATGATTTCGTCCACCAAAAGCAATTGGGATGCAATATCACCTGTTGCCTCCAGAATACTCTTTTTAGTAATCACGTTATCGAGTATCCCAGCTGCCAGGGGATCAACCACGCCTCCGGTATCGAGACGAAGGCCTACCCACCGATTCTGCAGGCGCGCTGCCCGACTGGCTTCTTGGAGAGAGATAAGACAGTGCTGAACATCGAGTCCAGAATTCTCTGCCAAAGTTTTGGGTGTGACAAGAATGGCATCCGCGTAGGCGCGCACGCCGATCTTCTGCTTCCCCGTGACGGTTTCGGCAAATCGACTTAAGTGGTCATGCAGAGCCACCTCGAATGCCCCAGCACCGGGTACAACACCCCCACTTTCATAGGCATTTTTTACAGATCGAAGCCCATCACGAATGGCATCCTTGATTTGGGCAATGGTGTGATCATTTGGCCCCTTCACCAGCAAAGTGCAGCTTTGCCCTTTACAGACATCTTCCACATAAGTGTACTTGTCGTCCCCCAAAGTGTACTCCTGCACGCGACCAGCCTCTCCAAGCACTTCGGGAGTTAAATTCTCGGTTGTGTTTACTGCTTCACCTCCACAAGCTAAAACGAGTCGCTCCATATTTCGGCGCTTGGCACGTCGAAGAGCCAAGATTCCCTCCTTTGCTAGCATCTCCAGGGCGATGCCATCAATTCCCTTCTGGTTGATCACGACAAAAGAACGATTGTTTTCTTTGGTGCAGACCTTTTTTTTAAGGGCAATGATATCCCGTACACGGTCGTCCGTAATTTTTCGCTCTGCAACAACCATGCGGGCCTTTTCAGCAGGGTCCTTGAAATAAAACCCCGCGTTCAGTTCACTTCTTTCATATTCCAAAGAAACATTGCAGGTTAAAATGTACGCGTTTTCCAGAAACTTTGGCATGTCGTCATTGCGGCCACCATGATCCAAGACAATGCCATTGACGAAACTCGTGTCCGTGCTCAGTCGATGTTTCATATGCATGACCTCAACCATGTGCAAATCAATCTCCTTTCCATCTACAGGGGCAATCGCAAGTACGGCATCCACAACTGCCTCCGCGAGGCGCTCGGGCATATTTGAACCCACTTTTGTGGAAAGAACCGAGCGTGCAACATTTGTCAAATACTCACGTTGCCCATCGGCAGGTATCTTCAAAATACTCCTCTCAAGAAACTTTAACGCTTCAATACGAGCCAGACGAAAACCTTCGGTCAGTATACGGGGATGAAGACCATCCTGAATACACCTCTCACACTGCCGCATCATCTCGCCAATAACAAGTACGGTGCTTGTGGTACCATCACCCGCAATGTCGTCAATGGCTGTCGCTGCGCGTGCTATAAGAGCTGCAGTTGGGTGTTGGATCTGCATTTCTCCTAAGAGCGTATTACCGTCCTTCGTTATTTTAATTAAACCAGCACCCGAAACCAACATTTTCATTGTTCCCCTGGGACCCAAATTCGTTTTGAGCACCTCTTGCAACCCACGGGAAGCAAACATATTTATCTCTAGGGCGTTGGCTTTTCGAGCCTGCCTTCCCCCGGGATTAATGTAGGCCAGGCTTGTCGACATTTGTTGTGTGTGCGTGTGCAATTCTCAATTACTGGAGGAACGACGAGTTCATTCACAAGAAAAAAAAAAAGAACATATTTGAATTGAAAAAGAAAAGCGAAAACAACAACAAAAAGAAGAAAAAAACGGACGGCAAATGCCTGTTGCCATAGGGAAAAAGGAAACACCAGCGAAGGCATCCAAGAAAACAAAGAAAAAAATGGGAAATTTCTCCCTGAAAACAAATAAAGCCAGATTTCTGCCGTGCCTACCACGTGGGGTCCTTGTTGCCAGTCTTCTTCTTGTCATTCAGCTCAAAGTGCTTCGTGCGCTTCAGCACGTTTTGAATGATGGACTTGCAGTTAGAGCATTGGAGCTTCAGGACAATCTTCTTTGTCGTCTTGGCCTTCTTGTGGAAAATGGGCTTCGTCTGACCGCCATAACCGGACTGTTTGCGGTCGTAACGCCGTTTGCCGCGCGCATAAAGACGTGCCTTGCCAGCCTTGTACTGCACAACCTTAAAGCTCTTATGCGCGTTGCAACGCGCGTCCGGGCAATACATCGTCT